TGCAGGAGGCTCACGCTAAACAGACTTTTCTCAGCTTTTGCACAGGCTCTGGAGCAGTGGTCCCCAACCTCTGTGATTGGAGAGCTACTTTCATAAAAACAGAGATGGCAGGGAGCTACTCCTTAGCTACCTCGGATAGTGGTCTGTTGTGGAGGTTGCTAGGATATGGTAGAGTAAAGTATAGTGGGGCTGGTATATAACCGTGATTAATGGTGTTCAATGTCATGGAACTCGCTTGTACAGAAATTGACATAAAATAGCCATTTAAAGCTGGGGTACTCAACTTTAGCGTAGAGTAGAGTAAAGTAGAGCAGAGCAGAGTAGAGTAGAGTAGAGTAGAGTAGAGCAGGGTAGGGTAGAGTAGAGTAGAGTGAAGTAGAGCAGAGTAGAGTAGTATAGAGTAGAGTCGAGTAGTGTAGAGCAGAGTAGAGTAGAGTAGAGTAGAGCAGAGCAGGGTAGAGTAGAGTAGAGGAGAGGACAGTAGAGTAGAGTAGAATAGAGTAGAGTACAGTACAGTAGGGTAGAGTGGAGTGGAGTGGAGCAGAGTAGAGTAGTATAGAGTAGAGTGGAATAGTGTAGAGCAGAGTAGAGTAGAGTAGTATAGAGTAGAGCAGAGCAGGGTAGAGTAGAGTAGAGTGAAGTAGAGCAGAGTAGAGTAGTATAGAGTAGAGAAGAGTAGAGTGGAGTAGTGTAGAGTAGTGTAGGGTAGAATAGAGTAGAGTACAGTACAGTAGGGTAGAGTAGAGTAAAGTAGAGTGGAGTAGTGTAGAGTGGAGTGGTGCAGAGCAGAGCAGAGTAGAGTAGAACAGAGCAGAGCAGAGCAGTAGAGTAGAGTGAAGTAGAGCAGAGTAGAGTAGTATAGAGTAGAGCAGAGCAGAGCAGAGTAGAGTAGAGGACAGTAGAGTAGAATAGGGTAGAGTACAGTAAAGTAGAGTAAAGTAGAGTGGAGTAGAGTGGTGTAGTGTAGTGTAGTGTAGTGTAGTGTAGTGTAGTGTAGTGTAGTGTAGTGTAGTGTAGTGTAGTGTAGTGTAGTGTAGTGTAGTGTAGTGTAGTGTAGTGTAGTGTAGAGTAGAGCAGAGCAGAGCAGAGCAGGGTAGAGTACACACACTCGCAGGTACACATTTGGCACTGATGATGTCTAATACTGCTGAGATGTGCAACAGAGGAAATACCGCAGGATCAAACAGCCAATCACAGCGCAGAGCAGTGTGTATGAGTCACAGTCACACTTTTCGTGGCATTATTCTAGTTTATGACTGGCTCCACCGTTAGCTTCACCGATAACTTTCATGACTCATTCACCTTCATCTATTCTCACAATAAACAAGTGTCCTGTAGCAACGGAAACTTAAGTTACCATAGCAACAGCCCAACTCTACCACACTAAAAACACACAAACCTGCACTGCTAAAGCCACTTTTATTGAACATTATTATATCATGCACAGACTATATTTTCTAACATATTTTTGCACAATCTGCGTGACACTATCTGTGACAAATGTGACATGTACATTTATCCATTGTGAGATCAATAAAGTTTATTTTAACTTATCTAATCTTATAAGCCGCAGCGTGTGTGTGTGTGTGTCTCTCTCTCACCAGTGCTTGTTGATGAAATAGATGCAGAGGGTGTGTGTGTGTGTGTGTGTGTGTGTGTGTGTGTGTCTCTCTCTCACCAGTGCTTGTTGATGAAATAGATGCAGAGGGTGTGTGTGTGTGTGTCTCTCACCAGTGCTTGTTGATGAAATAGATGCAGAGGGTGTGTGTGTGTGTGTGTCTGTGTGTGTGTGTGTCTCTCTCACCAGTGCTTGTTGATGAAGCAGATGCAGAGGGTGTGTGTGTGTGTGTGTCTGTGTATGTGTGTCTCTCTCACCAGTGCTTGTTGATGAAATAGATGCAGAACCTCTGTATCTATTTCTGTGTGTGTGTGTGTGTGTGTGTGTGTGTGTGTGTGTGTGTGTGTGTGTGTATGCGTGTGTCTCTCACCAGTGCTTGTTGATGAAGTAGATGCAGAGGGGGTGAGGGTGTGTGTGTGTGTGTGTGTGTGTGTGTGTGTGTGTCTCTCACCAGTGCTTGTTGATGAAGTAGATGCAGAGGGGGTGTGTGTGTGTGTGTGTGTGTCTCTCACCAGTGCTTGTTGATGAAGTAGATGCAGAGGGTGTGTGTGTGTGTGTGTGTGTCTGTGTGTCTCTCTCTCACCAGTGCTTGTTGATGAAGTAGATGCAGTGGGTGTGTGTGTGTGTGTGTGTGTGTGTGTCTCTCTCTCACCAGTGCTTGTTGATGAAGTAGATGCAGAGGGTGTGTGTGTGTGTCTGTGTGTGTGTGTGTGTGTGTGTGTGTGTGTGTGTGTCTCTCACCAGTGCTTGTTGATGAAGTAGATGCAGAGGGGGTAGGCGGGTAGTTCCACCAGTCCGTACATGGCCACGTTCACAAAACGGTTTCCTGAGGTCTCTCCTGCGCCCAGCGTCAGGCCGTAGTACACCAGACTGCACGCATACCTGGCAACACACAGCCCACCTACTGTATATTCAGACTGTACAATGAACAATGAGGACTGACGAACACTGCCGACCTGAACTCACATGTTGTGCGTCTGTGCAACATAGATCCACATGTGTCACTGCCTCTGTCTCCCTGAGCCTCAGTCTTTAAAATGCTGAAGTTAGACATTTTATTTTATTTTAAGTTGTTGTTCACTGTGTGCTCCTCATTCCTTCGGTCGTTCTACTATATCTATAACAACATTCGAGGGCTCAGGGGCCTGATACAAACATCCAAAGGACCGCATCTGGCCCACGGGCCGGGGTTTGTGTTGTAACTGACAGTGATTGGCCGGAGAGCTGCTGGAAGCCATGAGGATACGATACCTGATATTAAAGTGTAATGGAAACACAACCATGTGGTAGGGTAGGGTAAGGTAGGGTAGGGTAGGGTAGGGTAGGGTAGGGTAGAGTAGAGTAGAGTAGAGTAGAGTAGAGTAGAGTAGAGTAGAGTAGAGTAGAGTAGAGTAGAGTAGAGTAGAGTAGAGTAGGGTAGAGTAGAGTAGAGAGTAGGGTAGAGTAGAGTAGAGTAGAGTAGAGAGTAGGGTAGAGTAGGGTAGAGTAGAGTAGAGAGTAGGGTAGAGTAGAGTAGGGTAGAGTAGAGTAGAGTAGGGTAGAGTAGAGTAGAGTAGAGAAGAGTAGTAGGGTAGAGTAGAGTAGAGAGTAGGGTAGAGTAGAGTAGGGTAGGGTAGAGTAGAGTAGAGTAGAGAGTAGGGTAGAGTAGAGTAGAGAGTAGAGTAGAGTAGAGTAGAGAGTAGAGTAGAGTAGAGAGTAGAGTAGAGAGTAGAGTAGAGTAGAGTAGAGAGTAGGGTAGAGTAGAGTAGAGTAGAGAGTAGAGTAGAGTAGAGTAGAGAGTAGGGTAGAGTAGAGTAGAGAGTAGAGTAGAGAGTAGAGTAGAGTAGAGAGTAGGGTAGAGTAGAGTAGAGTAGAGAGTAGGGTAGAGTAGAGTAGAGTAGAGTAGAGTAGAGTAGAGTAGAGTAGAGTAGGGTAGAGTAGAGTAGAGAGTAGAGTAGAGTAGAGTAGAGAGTAGAGTAGAGTAGAGTAGAGAGTAGGGTATTTGAATTTCTAAATTACTTTTCCAGCCTCTAAATCTTGTTATTGTTTTCATTTCGATGTCCCGCCCTCCACCGTTTCACCAATCAGAAAGTCTGTGATCCGGGCGCCAGAACTCACCGCGTGGAGCTAATCTCACTGGTAAAGTACCATGTGGAGCTAATCTCACTGGTAAAGTACCATGTGGCGCAGAACTAAAAAAGGTCTCGTTATGATTCTCAAATCATTAACGACAAAACAAGGAATAAAACCAGGATTTCTATCTTTGTGAAAAAGGTGTTGGTTATAGATTTGTTGTTGACAAAACTCTTGTCTATTCAGCTGTTATGGTCCCAGCTGGATTCGTCTGCATATCTGGCAACCTGAGTCAGGGAGAGTGGGAGAGGCTGCAGTACCACTTTGGGCCACACGTTTACACACTGCTCCTTTAACTCATTTGTTGTTTTGAAGCAGTGAAGGATTATTATGAACGTGACTCAGAGTTGACCAACACCAGCCTGAGCTCATCAGTTCTGACGCAGAACTGCAGAAATGTATTAGAAGCAGAAGGAAGCGGCAGTTTTTTATAGACTTTGCTGCACTTCACACTTCTTTTTTAGCCGCGCAGCTAAATGCCCAGATGCGTTCAGAGGCTAACAGACAGTTTATCTCTTGATTAGATTCACTGTCCTTTACTCGTTTGACTAACAAATAAATGTTTGTATGTATGAATGTACAGTTATATCAATACTCGGGACAAAGTAGAACCTTTAGTCTTAAATGAGGAGTTGAAGCCTGTGCTTGTGTAAGTGCAAATTAACTGATGATTATACAAACACACAGAGCCATTGGTCCAAGAGGAGCAGATGTTGAATGTACAGTGTTCTGGATCATCTGTACTGGCCATTACCACTGAGATTTAGATCAATCATTGGTCCGGCTGAGGGGTCAGGGGTCAGGGGTAATTAGGGCTGCACCTTAAGCCCGTTAGAGGAACCTTCCGGAGAGAGCGACGGAAATACTGAGAATACTCTCCTCTCTCTCCTCTCCCCTCTCTCTCCCCTCCCCTCTCCCCTCTCTCTCCTCTCTCCCCTCTCTCTCCCTCTCTCTCTCCTCTCTCCCTCCTCCCTCTCCTCTCCCCTCTCTCTCCTCCCTCTCCCTCCTCTCTCTCTCCTCTCTCTCCCCCCTCTCCCCTCTCTCTCCTCTCTCTCTCCCCCCCTCCCCTCTCTCTCCTCTCTCTCTCTCTCTCTCTCTCTCTCCTCTCTCTCTCTCTCTCTCTCCTCTCTCTCCTCTCTCTCCCTCTCTCTCCTCTCTCCTCTCTCTCCTCTCTCTCCTCTCTCTCCTCTCTCTCCCCTCTCTCTCCTCTCTCTCCTCTCTCTCTCCTCTCCCCTCTCTTCCTTCTCCCTTCTCCCTCCTCTCTCCTCTCTCCTCTCTCTCCCCTCTCTCTCTCCTCTCTCTCTCCTCTCTCTCTCTCTCTCCCTTCTCCCTCCTCTCTCTCATCTCTCCCCTCTCTTCCCTCTCTCCAAAACCAGGCTCTGAAGTTTATACATATGGAAGTAGTTGTAATTAAAGTTTTTGTTCACAATGACTTAAGACTTTCACTAGTGTTAAACATTGAATAAACAAATCAAACAGGTTTCCTCCAGGTGCTGCGATTCCCCACAAACAGTTTTTTTCCTCCTGTACAATGGTTAAAGAGGACTGCCTGTGGGAATAACTTAACACAAACCACAGCGGTGAGGTCATTTACATGTGTTCTTTTGCAGCCACGCCTCAGAACCACGTGGGTGTCAAACTGTTCTCACTAGAGTCTGTTCTGGGCTTTATATCTGTCCATATTTATCCACATCACGGCTACATTAGCGTCATATGTGGAACTCTGAGACACAATCAACACCAAATGTCAGTATACAAAATGCTAATAACATTAGCGAGTGGATTCAAGAAGTTCAGAGCCTTACACCAAGCTATAGCATGACTTTACTGGTGGAGCTGAAGTTGCCTGGATGACAGAACCTCAGTAGCTACTTAATGTTAGCAGTTTTTTGCATCTCACATTGGAGAAATTTAGGTCAAGGTCAATGTCAAAATTTCCAGATCTTACAAAATACAACACAACACACATATAAAATACAGCACAAAACTAAAATACTGGGCCACAATCATCACATTTCTGCTTGAGTTAAAAAGCCAGAGCAAAGGACCACATAACATGACACTGGGCCGCATTTGTGGAAGATTTGAGACTGAAGTGAGTGATATAAAGGCAGCTAGAGCCGAATCCAGAGAGGTGTGTTTATTTACATGACTCATTTCCATATGCACCGATGTCAGAGCAGAGCATCCTCCTCTGCAGAGACAATCTGTGTTTTAGTTTTGTGTCTGTCCTTTGGTTACATTTTACTTACAGTACCTTGCAAAAGTATTCATACAGCTTGGACTTTTGCACCTTTTGTCATGTTTACAACCATAAACAAAAATATATTAAGTTGATTTTTATAAGTGACAAACAACTGTGACGTGAAGGAAAAAGATACAAGTGTTAATTTTCAAAAACTGTGGAACTCCTTTTGTTGCAGTAACAGCAGCAAGTCTATCAAGGAATGTCTCTGCAAGATTTGCACATCTAGAGACAGAGACTTTAGTCCATTCCTCTTTACAAAACAACTCAGGCTCTTTCAGATTAGATGGACAGAGTTTTCAGGTCCATCTTTCCAAAGATTTTCTCCAAAATGTCTCTGAAATGTCCCCACTGTGGGACGGACATCTGACACAGCTGCATTCATACTGAGTGGTTCACACACAGGCATGAAAGCTGTCAGCAGTCACTATGACTGTTTTAAAGGTTTATCTTATCTTTAAAGGAAACTGAATCCACTCAGAACAAGCTGCATGAAAACACGTCCAGCTTTACCCATTTTAAGAATTTTAACAGAATCACGCGTCATTTTGCTTTCACTGTTGTCACTTACAGGATTTATAGTGAACTTACACTATAACATATTTTAGACTGTATGACACATGTGTAATAACATGTTACTCACCACACACATGTGTAATAACATGTTACTCACCACACACATGTGTAATAACATGTTACTCACCACACACACATGTGTAATAACATGTTACTCACCACACACATGTGTAATAACATGTTACTCACCACACACATGTGTAATAACATGTTACTCACCACACACACATGTGTAATAACATGTTACTCACCACACACACATGTGTAAATAACATGTTACTCACCACACACACGTGTGGTGAGTAACATGTTACTCACCACACATGTGTAATAACATGTTACTCACCACACACACATGTGTAATAACATGTTACTCACCACACACACACATGTGTAATAACATGTTACTCACCACACATACATGTGTAATAACATGTTACTCACCACACACACATGTGTAATAACATGTTACTCACCACACATACATGTGTAATAACATGTTACTCACCCACACACACATGTGTAATAACATGTTACTCACCACACATACATGTGTAAATAACTCACACAACACATGTGTAATAACATGTTACTCACCACACACACATGTGTAATAACATGTTACTCACCACACACACATGTGTAATAACATGTTTACTCTACACACATACATGTGTAATAACTGTTACTCACCCACACACACATGTGTATACACACACACACACACGTGTGGTGAGTAACATGTTACTCACCACACATGTGTAATAAATAACATGTTTACTCACCACACACACATGTGTTACTCTCACCACCACACACACCACATGTGTAAACATGTTACTCAACCACACATGTGTAATAACATGTTACTCACCACACACACGTGTGGTGAGTAACATGTTACTCACCACACACACATGTGTAATAACATGTTACTCACCACACACAC